CACCCCCCACACCCCACACCTTACCATACACCCCCCAATATACAAAACTAAGAATTTATTTTTGAGTTATTATGCAATTGCCTCTATATACACTACACAAACACAAATCATTACAAAATATTTTTTGTAATAAAATTAAAATATGTTATAGTAGGTAGTTGACTTCTAGTGTATGATTTGGTTTTTTTTCTGGTTCTAAGATGGCAACTCCCCCCCCCCAAATAGTACTTTTGGGGGGCAAGGGGAGGGACTTCTGGTGGCAAAGGTCAGGGGTTAGGGGGTGGGACTTCCGGTCCCAAGATGGCAACAAAGGGGTGGGGCAATTGTCAAGGGACAGGACTACCCATGCAGCCCTCGATAGCTAACCCAAACTCATTAAGTGGCCTTTCACCTGAAAAAATTGCCCGCCCTTGCTCTAGAATGAGGAAACCATTTTAGAGTACCTTCTGCACATTACTTTGTAGGTTCTGATCTAACAAAGTGCTAAACTGTAGTTTCCCACTGAAGTAAAGGGGATGCTAGACGGCATAAAAGATAGGAGGCAGGAACTCCTACATTCTTTCCTGAGCCCTTTACTTGTTTTCTGGCTCTGGGTAAGTTGTTTTACTGAGCCTTGCTTCCTCTGCTTACAAAATGAGGATACCTACCCACTGCAGAGAGACACTGTGAAGAGTAATTAATTGTCTTGCATTAAACACTGTGAAAAAGTAACATGATAAGGAAGTGCTACTGTTCCCATCTATCCTTCTTCTACCAAACTCTGACAGGTTTAACGCATTCAGTTACCTGATATAAGCTGATGGGGCAAACTTCATTGTGTAATGTGGCAAATCAGAGCTATGCCTTGAGGGTCTGCTGTTTCTTAAACCGACTGGAAAAAACCTGCTAGGCAGATACACCTGGCATCTCACTGCCTTAATACTTTTGCCTTCCTAAAGAGATTGAGTTGTGCAATGTGTGAAAGCTGCCCTTGTTATCTCCCATAACTTATACTGATTTGCATGGGGTATATAAGGGCTGTCCAACTGGTAGCCTGTGGGCTGAATGTAGCCCCTATGGAGTTAAGCTCTGGCCCCTAGGCTCCTGGTCCAGGTGGTGCTTCCTCCTACCATTCCAGCTGCTGCTGCTGCTGCTGCCTCTCTCTCCTGTTTCTGCTTCCTGCCCCTATCCCTGGAAGCAGGAGAGCGTAGTGTGGTGCAGGTGATGAAGCCTTCAGTGGGAGGACTTGGGGGACCCAAGAACTCTGTGCAGTGCAGGAGCACTGATAGGGTGCAGTGGGGGGATCCCACCATGTGGTGGGGAGCATGCAGTAAATTATGGGGGGGTGGGAACACTGGTACAGCCTAGTGGGCAGACACCTATCATACAGCATGATGTGGGGTACCTGTGCAGGGCAGTAGGGCATGGCATGTGGCCTGTGGTGGCACTGGATTTATGACCCAGATACCTTGTTCCGGGTGGACCCAAACCCTGAGACCAACCACGGCCTCTCCATTTGATAATACACAAATTTTATTGATACATAGTGATAGTAGATAAGAATAACGCAAACAATTCTATATCTACCAGTCCTAGAGCTGTCACAGGGGAAGGTACACCTGGCCAGTATGCGAACTTCACCCTGTGGTTCTCTCTTGTATGTCAGATATCAGCAGCCTGGAGGCTGAGGGCTGAGGGCTGAGGCACAGCCCCCTGACCCCCCCACAGTGGGGTGGGTGAGATGGGCCAGTGGTATGCCTTTTGCCCATGGTGGCCTTGAGTTCTCCTCTCAGGGACTCTTTGCTGCTCTGAAATCCCTCCTTTTGTATTCTTTCTCCCCTCTGATGACTCCTCGTTCCCAGGCATCATTGATTGATTTCCCTGTGGTCGTCATACTGTCCACATTTTGTCCCATCAGCATATTCCTTTGTTTTACAAACCCATCACATGCACACATCTGAATTTGGTTATTTACCAGGCCTCCTAACTTGGTCTGTTCACCAAACCAGAAATACCAAGGGCTGTGCAGTTGAGCACTGTGACCTAAAGCCACCTTATCTCATCTTATGGAACAGTGTAGTACATGTCTTCAATTTCCCAGCCTGTGTGTCTGCTGGCTTTAGACACAGTGGGCCTTAAAGGAAACATTGTCAGAAACAGGCTTTTAGAAACCAATTAACTCTCACCATTCCCCTGGACCATTATTCTAATGCATACCTACTTTACCTACAAGCCAGTTCCCAAAAGCAAACCTCTAAATATAATTTTCTAGCCATCAGCCTGTGCTGTAGGGGGGCTGGTGACCCTTGGCCACTCAGAAGTTGGACAGACCTGGGGTATATGATAGCAACCAAGGTACAATTTTCAAAGACGTTTTGGAGGCCTATAAATTGCCATCACCAGTCAAAGTTCTACCTCAGCATGTGCATGGTGTCCATTACCTTTTAGTGTGCCACAGCTGGTGCACCATGCAGTTGTCAGGAAGACTGGAAAGGAAAGATGGGGCTGTGGGGACCATGCTGGAGGGGGGATTTAGGAGGCATAAGCTTAACAACTGCCACTTCTTGGGTTAGAGCATAGGTCCATCTTGCCCAGGATCCTGTGTCACACCGTTCCCTTGGCTCCTTGAACACATTCAAAGGCGAATTGACACTATCAAGTATACTCTGCTCAGTGCCCCCCCTAGTTCACTTGTTTTGAACTTATGACCTTCACTCTCATCCCTGTTTTGTCTTTCAGTTGTCCCAAATGATCAGTGTCCTTGGTGGCCTTCATAGGGAGGAGGCTTATAGCTCTACTTAGGGGGGTTCGGCCCACATTCCAGAATAGCATATCAAAAGGCCTGTGTCAGCATGGCCAAGAGCAGATGTTGAAAAGGAGAATGATCAGGGTGCGGTGCTTCCCCAGTTCCTCTCCCACTTGCAGCCTCCGGGCTTTAAGGTACAGCCCTTAAAGTTTTGAAATCATTGCTACCAGATCTGATGTAAGCTGACAGTTTAGCCAGATTCAAAGGGACTGGACAGAAACTTGGAGGAAAGAGGCATCCGGAGTTATTGAACATGGGATTGAGGGGCATGGCCTGGGAATCAAAACTTTCTAGACCTTCAATGCTGGAGGCTGCAAGTGTGAGAGGAACAGTGGAAGCAAACCCTAGCCAGACCCAGCCTGCTCTCTGCCCCCATGTGACACAGGAGACTGGGCAGCATGGACCTGTGCTCTGACCCAGGCAATGGCAGGTCTCATGTTCTAATGACCTGGGCTCAGTGCTTAGCCTAGCCACAGATATCCCCTAAGAGTGAGTCCCTTAATCTACTCAATGGCTGGGTTCCTTTTGACCTCTGGGGCTGGTGCATCTCTCCCTCACAGTGGTGATGACCCTACCTGTGGTGCAGCTGCAAGTGGCGGGACACACAGATGACCGCTTGCAGGCAACTAGCACCCGGGCTGATGCGGGTGACTGGCTGGTGACATGGAAGGCCCCACCCTGCCTGGGATCTGGGGTGACAGAGCCTTCAAGAGGAGGGCCTGGGACTCTGTGCCACCCCTAGGAATGGCATGGGTCCCATTCCAGGTGCCCTCACCAGGACCCAGCCTGGCCCCAGCTTTGACAGTTTTGACCCTCTGGATTCCTAGTGGAAATCTCTGGGTTTGCCTTGCGAATCGTGTTTGGGTACCCAACAGTGCTACAGCTGCACGGCAGTCTTGTAAGGATCTCAGGGCAGCCTCTTGTCTGTGACTGAAGTCAGCACCCTAAGCATTAGCCTCCCTGCAGGGCCCCATCTGGCTGTGCTGCTCAGTATTGCCAGGACTTAAATATGAAGTTATCAGGAGCCCAAAATTATTATATTTGGTGAAAAACTTATACACTGAAAAAATATGCAAATACATATGCAAATAAGCCTTATTTACTTGATATTGCTCACTGTAACACCAGTGAGTAAGTGAGCACTGGGTCATCAAAGTGGAAGCAAAGCATATCTTGATTTGGCGGCCAGCAGGCATAAGAAAGTGCTAGCAGCAAACTCAAAAGTCAGGTAAGTCTCCCAGAGGGTGACCTGGGTTTTGCATATGCTGCATCAATGAGCTGCCTCAAAAATTATCTGATATCTTTTATTATCCAGGAATCATAATTATGATTTATTATCCAGGAAGAGCACAGACCACCTGCAGATGCTTCCTCTGTCTGATGTCGACTATTTATACCCAAAAGCTTGTAAAGAAGAATTTTGCCAATTATTTAAGTTGCTCTAATAAAAAATATCAGATTGACCCAAAGAACCTTGTCTGCCTACGTCCTTAGACCAACCCGGCTGCAACCTACACACCTAAAAAATGATCCTACGTTTTGGGGGTGGCAGTGGCGATGTGTAAGGAGTACACAGGGCTGCATCCCCTGACCAGCCACACTCGCTGCATACCTCACCCCCGGTCACTGACTTGTTGCTGGGGGGGGGCATATGCCCCACCCCCGACCAAGGTGGCCCCAGTCGCCCATGGGGAGTACATTTGGTAGCTGTGTTGATCTGAGACCAAAAGAAATGCAAAACTCTATAACTCTTGCTTTGGGTTGTAGCAAATCACAAAAACTAAGAAAAGATTTTTTTGGAAAAAGTTAGGTAGGTTTTTTGGGCCATTTCTTATAGATCAACTAAGAAATCGCAAAAAGATTTGAAAAAAAAGTAAGGTTTTTTTGGTTGGGTTTTTTTTTTGCCATTTCTTAGTTGGTCTAATAAAAGGTATCATCGCTGAACCAAGAGTTTTAAGAGCGTTACGATCCTACATTTTGCACACACAGACCATGCCTGATCGCACATCGTGCACGGGTGGAAATTCCCGCGCAAGAACGATCACACCCCTACCCGCGGCCCGCCGTCTATGACTGGCCCTTTAAGACCGGGAGGGAGAGGGGGGCGGCCGCGCCGCACTCAAGATGGTGCCTACCCCCCTCCCGTTCTCCCACCGGGTGCCACACTCAAGATGGCGGAGCTGGGGCCCCGCCTCCCTTTCCCGGCGGTGACTTCCGGAGGGAGAGGGCGTCCGTCCCATGGTAACTGCGCCACG